TGTCAGAAACAGTTCTTCAGCTGTTTGCAGCCAGACACAGAATCTACCACAAAGCTGGATTCCCACTCTCTAAAATACTTCTTTCCCCACCCTCCTTATAAAGTGACTTCACTTGAGATGCTTCATAAGTAAACCTCTGTCTGTACCTGCTTGAGACTGAGCTACTGTCCTTGGTATCTTTTTTGTCCAAGTTAGGTTTGTCTTTGGAGCAAGGAATTACTCTCTCAATTTTTTTCTAAAGCAAATAAGGAAATATGATTCTTATGGTTACTTCTCATGCAGCATTTTGTGAATCAATATAAAGACTTACGACTTTCTAAAGATGTCCAGTAACCAGTATGTTAAGATAGGAGAGCTCTGTGACATTATCTACTCAGAACAGGTCTAAAACCGTATTTCCACAGAATCCCTTTTCCACTTAGAAAGAGCCCACTCCTGCTCTGTTTTCTATGAGACTTAAATTCTAGTTGAAGAATACTATGAAAGACAGCACTGTAATTATTTATTTTTTTTAATTACATAAGAGGAACAAGGGTATAATTTACCAAAAAGGTTAGAACAAAATCTCAAGCTTAACACACAGAAGAATAAACCTGTCTGTGTTGCCAGACACCTAAGAGCTCTGAAGACCATAGAGGCTTCCTTATCAACAGGCAGACATTTTTATTGGCATCAGGTCCAATGAATTCCTGACTAGCATTTTTGCTTTCAAGTTTATGGCACAGTTCTATCCTCAAATTTCTCTTGCAAAACCCTGACACTAGGAGAACCCATGTTTCAGCTTGGGAGTGCAGAAATGGAGAACAGGATTTCACCTTTGGAACTCTGTGCTGTAACCTTTTTACAAAATGCAAAATATAATACACTTCTGACCTCAGCATTTATACTCCTATCGTAACTGTTTTCATAAATTTTTCCTGCACATTTTTCAAAGGAATTAAGTAAAGGCCACATCAAAGAAACTTTAAACCAGGCATGAAATAACAAATTCTAATTCCTACAGCAAACATGACTAAACTGTTACACGTAAATACATTAAAGTTAATTCTGCCCCGTGATCTACAAGGTGCTATTTCTGCCAACAAAACAGTTGAGTCATAACTGTCCTCAGGGCATTAAATTGAAGTTCATCCATTTTGGTGCATTTATAATTTTGGCTTCTGAGCACCTTTGCTAATACCTCCAGATCTAACAATATGAGGGCAATTACAAAAAAGAAAAAAAGAATCTCTAAGTTTTCACAACAGTGGTCTTGTATCTGAATTATTAGAAGCTTCAAGCACAAGAAGCAAGGATTACAGATCACAGATCCACACTAAAACTTTCAAATTCTTAAACAATTAAGCCATATAATCCTAGAGCTATGCTTACTAGCTACCATACTCCTTGACTGAAAACTAGTGTCAGGAGAAGAGGAGAAGTAGGCTGAAAAACACTGAAAAGTGCGGCAGACTCTAGAAGGGTCAAACCACATTGGGGCTCCCCATAGCACCCCTGGTCAGTACAATTCTGCGTGGAGTTCCTTTTGCATTCTTCCAGCTCCCAGTAAAGAGGAATTGGACTGCTCTTGCAAACCTTCTTCAGAATTAAAATACAACCACCTCACTGCTGCCAACTTCTCAGTCAGTCACAGAAGTGCTTCATCTCAACTGGGAGGAGCTGCTGGAGAATGAGCTAAAGATGTCTAATCTGGAGTGTCAGGCTACAAAGCCTTCAAAGGCCTTCCCAGCTGTTTTCCCACCTCTGATCCTCCACAGAAAACATCATGCTAACATCAGACTGAAAAAATGGCTATTGCCTTACTTTTTTAAGAGGCATTTATAAATACACATCGTGAAGGACCAGAGACACCACCCCTTCAGCATTACCAGCACCTTTGACAGCTGAATTTAAACCTCACGTAACTCCCCCGACACCCTTTATCAGGCTCCAGGGTGCCTCTGCAGCCTGGCAGACACTTTCAGTACCCTAGAGCGCTACACTAGTCCCTGCTGCAGGTGGTCAGTCTGCACATCTACAGCAGCCTAGTGACAGATGTTTCTGTATGCCTGTCAGGAGTGGGTCAGCAAGGCCAGAGATAAAACCAGCAGTGATTTTCCACTGCTTTGTCACTGAATAGGAACCCTATAAACCCTCCATGGTCAAAGTCAGTTTCTAAGAAAGCACTCTCCGTGAGAATTAACCGGCGTAAACTAGAGATTAGATCCAGCCTCTTGACAGCAAGGTAAACTTTCTGAAAAGCCTCCTAGCTTATGGCTATGGTTAAAGCAAACCATCTTCCAGGACAGAAAAATAGAAGATTTTTCCTTCTAAGAATCAGTTATGCAATGGACTCTGACGGAAGAAGAAACACTGGGGAAAAAAAAAGACCAGAAAGGAAAATTCAGATTATGAATTTGGTCAAATGCTTCTGCAGAAATAAAGACTAAAGCTCTTTACAAGTGTACATAAGTGTACACAAGTGAAACTTCACACAATTGTAAATGTGTAATGAGAAGATTATATTCATGGTAATTAGATAATCAAGTTCAAAGCCTCAGCAGTACATCGGAAATGGCAAAGAGGTTTATTTTTAGATACTCGATATTGAAAATTTATGGAGTACAAATCAAATCTGCAATGCATAATAGGCTCTGCTGCTTTGACCCACATAAATTCTACTCCACGCCTTTGCCAAACCACCTTTTCACACTGATGGCCACACAAGATTTCCTTTCCTGTGCAGATGCTGTTTCCACATACAGTCTCCCCACCAGAAACAGGGTGGACAACCACAGCTAGAAGCACTGCTGCTGGGGTTAAGCAAGTTGCTTATTTTTAAGACCATGCACACAGCCTCCTACATGCAACTCTGCCAAAAGGTCAACTCACTAGTTGCTATAGCACCTACTTCAACTGAGATAAAGGAGATGTTGCTGATATAATCAGAATGTCTGGAGTATCACTGGTTGCTAACAGCCCTTAAAACGGAGACAAGATGAGCAAGCCCCGCACCACCCCCCCCCCCCCGGCTCCATCATGGAGCACTGAGCCCAAATAGGTCAGCCCTTCCTTTCTCAAACTTTCTGCCTACAGATGCAAAATCCACGGGGCCAGCCTACTCCACAGCCGTGTCTCTGCTCTCTAATCCCTATAGCAGGGCTTCTCCCTTCTTGTCTTCCTGCTTCAAATGGGCAGCTTGGAGTTCTCGTGGGCAGATTGTTCGGTCCCCCCAGTTTCAGCATACCAGTCCCGGACTCCAAAATAACTTGCACAGGGATGGAGGAATGGTGGCATTTCCATAGAGACAACCTGCCATTGCCAAAAAGCATGTTCAAAACTTTAAAAGCTTTACAATCTTCAGCAAGCAAAGGCCATGTTCCTTCAATTTTAAAACAGGCAATTCAATCATAGGAGTAATTTCAGAATTAAGACTTCAAAAAAACTGTTGCAAAGCTAGTGCACAGCTCCCGGTTGTGCATGGTTCTTTCAACCGTGATGATGCAAAGCACTTTATAAGAAGACCAAGCATACAAAAGAGATGCCACCCAGTGATATTTTTGTTGTTACAAAAATAGGCTGAAGTAGAATATGAGAAAGATTAAGGAAAACAGAAGAGGACAGGCAAAGAAAGCCAAATCCTCTCCCTTGTGACACTCCTGGCCCACTGGGCTGATGTTGGAGAGTTCCTGCAGCCTTTGTGGCAGATTCACCTCCTGTCAAACTGCAGACTGGAACCAGTCCAGATGTGATATGAAGCTACACCAGTGCTCTCAGCCAAAGAGGGAGGCCACTGCCCACCAACGGTGACTCGTCCTTTTCCTAAGCCCAGCTCCCTGTCAGAAGCCACACTTCTAGAAAGTTTTACAAGACCTCAGACTCATAACCTCTTTAGGAGTTGCAGTACCTCTGGCTTTTGAAGCATTCAAAGTAACATTGGAGAAGACAGACAGGAACAAGAGAGCTTACTGAGGTAAAAGCATAACCAGTCTCTGAATGCCATCAATCTTGATATTAATTTAAAACTACGCGATGGTTTTGGCTGGGGTAGAGTTAATTTTCTTCATAGTATCTAGTATGGGGCTGTGTTTTCATTTTGTGCTGAAAACAGTGTTGATTATTCAGGAATGTTTTAGTTACTGCTGAGCAGTACTTAACACAGAGCCAAGGCTTTCTCTGCCTCTCACCCTACCAACAAGTGGCTGGTGGTGCACAAGGAGCTGGGAGGGGACACAGACAGGACAGGTGAACCCAACTGACCACAGGGGTATTCCAGACCATATGGCATCATGCTCAGCATGTAAAGCTGGGGGAAGAAGAAAGAATATGGGGATGTTCAGAGTGATGGTGTTTGTCTTCCCAAGTCAGCATTACATATGATGCAGCTCTGCTTTTCTGGAAATGGCTCAACACCAACCTGCCATGAGACGTGGTGAATTAATTCCTTGTTTTGCTCATACATGCAGCTTTTGTTTTACCTATTAAAATGCCTCTATTTCAAACCACAAGTTTTCTCACTTTTACCCTTCTGAATCCCTCCCCCATCCCATTGGTGGGGAAGTGAGTGAGCAGCTGTGTGATGCCTAGTTGCCAGCAGGGGTTAAACCACAGCAAATTGATAAAACGCTTTGCTAATTTAGAATATTCAGGTTTTACTTTTTCATTCTGTTGAAAGTAGTAATCAAAGCTGTATGGATGGAGGAAGCTCTCACAAGGTAAAAGCTGTATGGATGGAGAACACTCATACAAGGTAAAAGCTGTATGGATGAAGAATGCTCATACAAGGTAAAAGCTGTATGGATGGAGAATGCTCATACAAGGTACACTTCACCTTTCAAATTCTAATTGCTGTTTGGCAGCTTGGGTCTGCCTTTCCAGCCCTCTGGTGTGAGGAGAAGGACTATATAGTGGTTATTGATCTCAACTTTAGTCCAGTTTTTCTAGCACTCACATTGCAAAGTTGGGTGTACAGTGGTTTTCTGTACCCACACCTCTTTCTCTCTCACCAATCCCCCCTCCTCCAGACACTCACACTCCCAGAGAGGCATGCAAATGGAACCAGAGATTGTCCTTTGGTGATTCAGAAAAATTCTGAGAAGTTCAAGAAAACAGAAAGAAAGTAACAGACAGGCCACTATGAAAACTACATAAATAAATTAAGATTCAAAGTGGGAAGAGACAACCTAAGCTCAGTAAGATACGCGTCTGAGGCCTGATACGCAATAGAAATTATATCTTAAGAAAGCAGAGCCCAAGACATCCACTTTGATATTTTCACAGTCAAATTAAGGACTGTAACAATTTTTCCAAGAAAAGGTTTGTCCTCTGCAAACATAGGTGAAATCTTAGTCCTAGCTGCTGCCCATATTTCTGTAAAAGGAACATCACTCCCTCTTTGCTGCATGAAAGATTTACCAGTAGCAGACACCATGCAAGGCCTCAAACAGATAACAGACATATTATCAGCAGTGAGCATGAGACTCTTTCTCATGAAAGCATGTTTTTTTCAGCAAGCTTTCCAGACATCCCACTTGAGGTGTGAAAGGCCTGGAAACTGCTATGGCCACTTCTGCTGTTTCCATGTTAGCTATCAGCAGAGAAGTGATTAAAATGTTGCAGTGTGCTCTGTATCTTACTAAGAAAAATCTCAGTGTTCTCACATGGCAACATTTATTCTACACTCAAAAATGTTACTGCAGTACCAAAGCCAAAATATTTTACTGTACTCACTGCTCCGACACATACATGCTCCTGCACCTGAGTACAGGACACAAAGTGTGATTGTTTTTGTACGGTAAAAGCTGGGCACTAAACATTTCTGATACTCCTATGGTGAGCTCACAGAGCATTTGCCAGCACATAAAGCATCGTGGAGGCCAACAAATGCTTTAGGTGTCTGACTCAGTTTTACAGAATAAACAAGCCTTTTCTACTTTTCCATTCTCACTACTTTCAGCAGAATGAGATTCATACCAGTAAAAATCTCCCTTTGTAAGTCGTTTCAATGTAATGTATTACTGCCTGAGTGGAAGGCCCTGCAATATGGCCAGGTGTTCTGCTTTCAGACTGCCTTGAGGATGCTAACCTCCAGCAGAGGAGTGTGTTGGGTAGAAAGGAGCAAGGACATGGTAAGCTGTCACATTAAGGTTCACCAAATCTCATGTATACTTTTATCCCCCTTTTGTATCACCTCACCCTTCTTATTCTAAAATTAACAAGTATCCACATGGAAAGCATGTGACCCACTCTTCATGGAACTGAATTGCAGAAATATTAAAGGTATATATCCGCATGCTTTTGTATGTACTATGAAATATACCATGTGCTTTTGCAGTCTCATTCTCCCAAAAAAAAGGTGCAGGAATTATCATGGATACACAACGAAGCACAGATTGCTTTCCCCTCCTCTATTTTCATTGCTTACCTTCACTAACTGCATGAGGCTTAATAATGCAACAAGTACAGTTTGTGAATTTTGCACTGTTGACTGGTCCACGACCTCCACTGGAGGGAAAGAACAATTCCAGCTCCTGAAAAGAATTGCAATTGAATACATTTTAGAGTGATCTAGCTGCATACATCAGCCTTTATCATAAGTAACAATATCTGAGGTATCCACAGTCACAGAAGATAAACCACAATTACAGGTTTTTTTGTGCTACAAATACTTTTTCCCTATAATATTCTCTCAAACATATCTTTCCCTCTCTGGCACCACAGCTACAATCATAAAAACATGATTAGAATTCTTGCAATGTCGTTCTTTCCCCTCCTGTAACACCATCCATTTCCATTCAGAACATCCAAAGCACTGCTACCACAGCCACAATCATTTGGGAAAGGTGTTCCCAGTTTTCTAAATTCTCTCTCTCCTTCCTCAGTATCTTTCCCAAATCTACTCCCGCATATGCATATTTTATCTTCCGACTTTTCACATCATCTTTTCCATTATAAGAGCAAGTATGCAACTACCATACATTGTTCAGTATGTTTTCTTTCCATACACAAAGCTGACCTCTATCCCATTTATTTATTTCTTTCATTTTGTCTTAAACACTAGAATTATTGACTCTTGCCTTAGTGACAGTATCTTTCTTTATTTTATTTTTTTTAATCTTACTGAATTTGAGCTGATGAACTCAATTGCTCTGATTTTGGGATGAACCTCCTTGCCTCCAATCACTTCCTTTCTCCCCACCGTTACTATTCAGATATCATACAGCTTGGGTCTTAGACCATACTGGGGTGAGCTTGACAGCCAGGTTTCTTTCCTCAGTGATATTTTTTCACTGTTTACTGCCAGCTTCACAGGTTTTCCATACCATTTATTCACATATGTTACACAATCTGCCAATTAAGATTAGTTAAATGCTCAGAATGCAGATTCCATTTCACACCTATTGGTCAAATTCAGTAAGAGTTGATTGATAAATTTCTATTTAAGGGAAATAATAATATCCTGGAAATACTATTACCAAATCTATTTGATTTTTTTTTCCTGTGTAACACTAGCAGTGTTAAAGGCCATTTCCTGAAATAGTCTCATTTCATCTACTAGCTCAGATCACACGGAATAGACTTAGATATCTGCCAGTCTTTAGCTCATGACACTCTGAAAATTCCTGTAATCCTTACTTGGAAAGAATTATATAATTCAAACGAATTCATCTTTCAATAGAAGGGAAAAAAAATTTTGTTTTTCTCCTAGCAAATAATCCACATTTTAATTGGGCACATCTGAGACAAAAGGGTTCATTTCCTACATTCTTCTGCTGATAAAATGCTGCATGTTTCAAAGACTTTGTCCCACTCTGTTAACTAATGTTTATTTTAAAAGAAGGACCCAGGAAAAGGCAGCAAAATATTTACAATATTTAAAGCTTTGTTTTATCCATTAAAAGGATAATCAAAGGAAAATACCTGAACAATGATGAAGCACTAAGATGATGAAATGACAAACTATAAGCAAGTGGAGCCTTAAAAAGAAAATTCTTTTCCTTTCCCTTTACTCTTTATGTAAAAAAACTCCAAAATTTGGCCTGCTGAGAGTCACCAGATTAGAATATATCAAAGGCACGTTTTCACATGTCATTTAGCCACAAAAAGAACAATGCAGGCTTCCACAATTCACAACACATTCATTAGGTGTGGCTGATACCATTTTTCCTTCAGAAGAGTTTGTTTAGGTCCCTGTATCTTATATTTCTTTCAGCAAAGCTCTGTCAAGGTGCAGCCAACTAGTTTCCATGGCAACTGCTATGCATCCATAGAATACTGGGCCCACTAAATTAAAATAGGCACAAGGGGCACAATTTTTGTTGATTTATTGAAGGTTGGTATCAGTAACACCACAAAGATGCACACACCTGCAAAAGTTTGGCAAAATAATCCCACAGTCATAAATTGCTGCACGTGAAGGGGGCCTTCAAACAGCATTTAAAAAATGACGAAATGCAAAACCAACAAACTTAAGCCAAAGCACTTATGCTTCTAATCAAAATTTTATGCTAACAGACACATTGTCAGTTCAAAAGCTGGCAGAGCTGTCACAACAGTACACAGGAATAACGAAAAACTTTCACCCTTATATATGAAGACATCTAGTTATTTAACCAGAACTACAAAGACTTTTCTGACTATAATTTTCCTTCAACAGAAAGGATCAATTTCATCCAGACTTCTTCTGACTCTGTACCATCTTCATCAAGTCTGCCAGCAAAAATGGTATTTCAGGTGCAGCATATGATTTCTTGTCAAAACCAGAGGCACACGGAGAGGATCCAGCAGCCCAAGCACGGCACAGATACATGAGATGAGTGCTTGACCAGCAGAAAATACCCCATGTTTTGCTATGGCACATAGAAGTTAACCAATTCTTCCCTCACCACCGGGATATAATCTCTGTGTATACTTTCTAGTATATAGTAACTGGCAGCTTATTAGGTATTCCACGGCAGATCTCTTTCCAGTTATGCTACTGCCGCTGCTCCAATTTTAACAGAAGAAAGACTGGGATCAAGGAAACAACAACTGACATCTTCTCACCACTGGTCTAGAGCTAAGATACCACAGCGCAATATCAATCAGTCATGAGGCAAACTTCATTCTTGCCAACGTTTACCAGCATATCTACCCCAAAACCAGCATATCTACCCCACAACAAAGCACACAGATAGTCACCTCAATTCTGTAGAAATGCTCATAGTATCTACCGCCCTGTCCCAGGGCTTTTTCTTACCACTAAGGAAACACACACTTGAAAACAAAGCAAAATAGAACTGATCTCCTCAAAGCCAAGCCCACTGTACTACCTTTCAAAACACAAAGCACTATGAAGTGGCCTGTTTTCATAATCATTCATTCTGAGTAATAACAGCAGAGGTCTACTGAAGACTATGGAGGAGAACACGTAACTGCAACACACAGGATGGCACAAACAATTTTGTTTAATCCCTTTGTTTTTGTGATCAACATTGGTAGGCTATAGGTAGATAATACAGGCTATGCAATTAGCTCAATGTCTGTGATGTACAGAAGACATTAAAAATTACCAGGCATGCTCTCCCGATCAAAGTGCCCAAGGTTCCCCTTTGTGAAAGAGATAAACAAGATTTTTCTTTTCAGTTTACTTTTCCACTCTAAAAAGGATCCGTGAAGAATATCTAAACTAGTTCTAAACTCAAGTGGGGAAAAAAAAAAAAAAAGAGGAATTCCTGACCCAGCTGTTAACCAGATAAAGTAAAAGTAAACGTCAGTCAACAAACAGTCAAAAACTTACTTGAGCAGCTGAAGCAACTGAATCTGGGCCATGAGCTGCATTTCTTAGGCCAGTATGTCCAAAGTTCCCTCTAATGCTCTCTGGTGTATCAGTCTGTGCCGCTGCAGAGTTTGCTGGCCCCAGTAACGTTTTCCATTTACAAACTGCATCATCACCTAAGATTTCCATAGCAACAATGGGACCACTCGTTATGAACTGGAGAAGCTCACTGTAAAATGGAAACAGTACATGGTGATCTATGCTACAAAATAAAACCAAAAAGAACATATGATCCAGTGGAGACGAACTCAACTCGGCAAGGCCTTGAGCAACTTGATCTAACTTCAAAGCTGGCTCTGCTTTGAGACAGGAAGTTGGACTATGTGATGGGAAGATGCTCCCTTCTTATTATGGTTGTAGAAAAAGAATCAGATAATACAAACTCACTCAAGCTACTGTATGCCATGTTCAATTTCAAAAGAATTTTTAAAAGATTGGTACTAGAAAGAGCCCCTGCTAACCATTGCTTGGCAGGAGCAATTCCTAAGCATGTCTCTTCTGCACAGCAGGATAAAAGGATTCTTACACGACCTGTGTGTTCCCCACTCGCACAACTTCAACACTGCTGCGAGGATGGAGTGCTCACTGCCTCAGGGATCTCTCCCATAGATTTTGCCCAGCCAAAATCCAAAGTGGGAGAGAAGGGAGAAGCAAGATTTGGAAAGTTTGTGGGGAAGAGGGGTCTAAACTGCAGTTATCACATCCTGACATACGCAGAAGTCAAATGACTTTAATGGGCTGAATCTGAGTAAGGAGAAGAGATCAGGCTGTCAGGAGCAGCCAGTCTTCTGTCCTGACTATCTGACAAAGAAAACAGTCACACAAAATTGGAAACCCAAACACCCTATTAAAAAGCCCCACTGTAACTATAATTCCGTATCTTTACAAAACTTGCATAACAACAAGACTGCCTTTTCACTGTGTCTGGACAGAACCAACAAAGAAGAAAGTTGGCTCAATGCTTTTTGTACTACTTTCTCATAAAAAGAGCTTCGCACAATTATAATTGTGGATGTGTATGCTTCTTCATCTTCTTCCTAATGATCATTTATGCAATGATCCATGGGGAAGAAGAAAAGAGAAATCCTATTAGTTTTTTGCTAGAGGAACGATATTAGAACTATGAGAAGTTACATAAAAATAAAGAAACTACACAGGGACAAGCTGTTGGGACTCAGGTTCTATTGATCAGAGACTGCTTGTTTAGAATACGGTTAAATGGCTTACACATACATACACCCAAGAAAAAAGCAACTTCTATAACACTGCTTACAGTTCAGACTGATCCCAAATATTAAATAATTTTTAAAAATTAAATTCTTTAATACGACATTATTTTCCAAACAAGTAGAATTCACTAGACTAACATTGACTAGCGAACTTGCAAACTAAATCTGAATTTAAAGACAAGTAATACAATGCTAAATATAATTGAGTCAGAGTTTTTACATTTCACTGCCTTGAAGATTCTTGCCCTGTTTGATCTGCAATGCTTTATAACTATTTGTTTCTAATTTAGAGAAAAATCCTACACAGAAGACGTAGCCAACGGGACTGTAGCATGGGAGACCAGCACATCACAGTGGACAAAGGCTACAGTTTCTCAGATAATTACCATTAGCATAGATAGACATCTGTGAAATAACACTACAGGTAAAGTTCCTGCTTATTTACCAACATATTCAAGCAGGCTTATTCAGCAAAGAAAAGGCAATCCTAAATCCTCCTCTGATCTCCAGCATGGTCAGATGTAGCCTGGGACCATGTCTCTGTGAAGAGCTTGAGTTTGGACCCACAATAATCAGTTGCTGTTGCAGGAGAGCAGCTGGCAGATCCTAATACTCAGAAACTTCAAGACAGTACTGAAACCAGGTCTTTTGACCAACTGAGTGCAAACCCAGGTTCCAGCATGGCTGAAAAACACAAGGCAGAGCTGTACCCTTTTCCTAGAAGAGGCAGACTGCCAAATCCAGAGGGAGGAAAGGAAAGTTGTTTGTTGGTACCTTTAGGCAAAGCAGAAATGACACAATCTCTGGTATCAGTCTGGTCAGTTACGACAAGACTAGGTTTTTCATGTTAGGTGGAGCAGTCTAACACCATGGAAGTTTGACGTTTCATCCAAGGGTAGCAGTACTCTAAACAACTACCCCGTGCACTATCCTTTCAGTTACTTACAATTTGGGGTACTTGCTATCAAATCAATTCTCACAGCTAAGTGTTCCCCCTAATTATCATTATCTGCAAGCTCCACCCTGATCCTGAAGATGCTCCTTCCCTTGGCTTTGAAGCTTTGCCTTGGTAGAAGCATTTTCACTTCTAAGAGACCAAAGACATTGCCCTGATACTATCAGGCTGTAAAGAGTATGAGTTAAAACCCTGAATAGCTGAAGTAAGGATCTGTTCCTGGAGGAAGACAAACAGGGTGCATGCTCTGCAAAGGGCTCCACTCAACTAAGACAAGTTCTGATTTTCCCGTGGTCCTGCAGTACCAAATACGATAAATGAAGCTTGTGCATTCATTAAACAAGCTTACTGCATGTCAAGCTGAAATTGATATACCTACTTATAAAAAGGTTTTGATTGATGGTCTACGTAGAAATCAGCTGCTTCTTTTCTGAAAGAATAAAAAGACATATACAGATATATACACACACACACACATATACCTATATATGTATATATATATATAAACCTCCCTGAAAACCACAAACTATCATTCATCAACATGTTTCCACGGGTAATGTCTTCCCAAGCTGGACAGCTTCTGGAATGTTCATGCTCAATAACAGAAACTACATTTAATTTTCTATCATATTTTGTGTCGCTACAGGTATAGCTTGTAGCTGCCACCTCCTTATGCTCCTGCTCTGGGAAGGAAGTAATTACTGAAGCCCATAGCATGGACTTTCAAGGTCACTGATAGTCCCCACATTCTCAGTTTGAGAAATAAATGCAGTGGAGTCACCTTGCCAAGCCATTCACTGACGTCGTTTTCATCTTTCATCTCAGTTTGAGTGTGTACGTTGGTTACTGAAGTTTGGTTTTTAAAGCATAAAAAAAGAATTTAGCTGCTTCACTGGAACTTATTTCCTTATCAAGGCTAGTGTTTGATTATTCTGGTGCATAACAAAATATTGCATAACCTGGTTTCTATTCAAAATCCTCTAATGTTATAAGTCACATCAGCAGCACAATGCTCTTCAGATTAAAACTTGTTTTCTCCCACACTTTTCCACTTGAAAACTCAATTTGGTCTTGCACTTTCCCTCAGGGAACACAGCAGTTACTACACAGAGCTTTCTCCCAAAGCAGTGGGGTTTCTGTAATGAGGGGGCTCCTTACACTGCCAGGCAAATAAAGGCCACCAGGCATAAGTCTGTACCACAGCTGTTACTTAACCTTTACTCAGGTACTGGAAGCAAAAAGATACCTTTTCAGACAGGGTAGTGGCCCTCTCCAAGGTCTGCATTGCCACAGCCACGCTGCTAGCAGAACTGGGCTCAGCTACCCAACTACACAAGTTTCAGGGACCACGACACACACTCAAGATCCATCCACAGGTGGGCACACCATTTCACCCCACCACCCCTGCAGCTAGCCAGCCTACTCTCTTCCCTGCTTCTTCTCCAGCTGCCTCTCATACTTAACCCTTGTTTACGGCACTGCTTTTTCTACATGGTAACCGCTAGAAAAATCCGTGGACTTTTTCAAGTCTAAAGCTGCTATTTCGCAGCTTCAAAATTCCAGGTCAGAAGCGCAGGCTTGCTCTTGACTTCCTAAAACCTGGTGTGTACCACTTTCTGAACCTGGACTTTGCGGAGAACAACAAGCTCTTCAGGACAATTGACAGGTGAAAGGAAGCAAAACTACTCACTCCTATTCTGGATATAAAGTTCACAATTAAAGCAGAGCTGCAGGAAGAGTAAAAGACTCCCACCTGGAAAACTGTTCTCACCTGCAGAAACAGTCTTGTGATTTTTTTTTTGTCTCCCTGATTTTGCTGACTTTGAGCAGCTGTCTTGGTTGAAAGAAATTACCTGAAGGTTTTTTAGATAACAGATTCCAGGTATGAACAAAGGCACAGTTCTGTCAGCTGCAATGGAACTTTTCACATCTCTCTCCCATTTGCAGTCCAGACTTAAGCCAAATATTGCCAGAGGAAATAAATAACCTTAAGAAAAACTTAAGGAGAATTTAATTTTCCTAACCTTGACAAATATTTGAACAGTCACCATTTTCTCCAGCTTTTTTATCAAAATGACCACCTGATCACTGGAAATGAATAATTCCTGGTTTGTTGCTTTTAGTTCAGTGTATGAGCCATTCAAAATTCAAAAGATTTTCACTGGCCATACAGCTAATATGCTTTCCTTTCATTTCATAACTAAGGCAGAAACATGATTTAAAAATTATGCTAGTCACAGAAACTCCTGCAATCTCAAGCTTCAAACCTATACTCTGCAAATAGCCTGAAGTTTTTGCTTACAATTCACTATTTCATCAGAAAACCCGCTTCTGAAACTAATCCACCAAATAATTTTGCATAGCAAATATGAGAAAGCTATGCAAACTGATTATGTACCATCATTTCTGAATGTGAAGAAATATTTGAGGGATCTATTTCTGAAACAAATTGAGCTCTACTACTCAGTTAAGAATTCCTATTGCAATAAATATAAAATTGCAGTTGTGCTGTATAACTTAGGTCCTTTTAAATTTTATCTCTCTTGTAAGTTCTCTGCTTTTAAAGAACAGAAAACAGCATTCATCTGGGAATAGTAGACTGAACTGATGTATGATTACATGAAGAGACTAGAAAGCTGATGTATCAAAGTAGGTGCCTGCCCTCACTTTCACATCCTGGCTACATTTTTTGACAGAAGGCACAAATCTACTTAACAGTAGGCATGAATCTACTTAACAGTGATTGAAAAACAAATGTAAGTAATAACCCATTTAAAGAAAGCAGTAGATGATGACACTGGTTTGAACAAGCATGCCTGCAGAGACCTAAAGGTTGAAGATTTTGGCAAAGCCATTGTTCTATCATTTTAAAATGGCACAGTGCCAAGAAACAGAGTACACAGTAAGCAGAGAAACCACAAATATTCAAGACTTTATTTTTTTTTAAGTATAACCCAATCTTGTGCTTTTTAATAATTGCTTTCAATTATATAAGAGAAGCAGAAATTTTTATATACTAATAAGGCAATAGAAGTTCAAATCTCAAAGTTGTCTCTTCAGTGAGTCAACTCTAAAGCACATGCCCTGGCTCGACAGTTCTTCAAGTTCTCAGACAGACACTGAAATACAGAACCACCCAACACAACACTGCAGGATCAAATCTCTCAGACTGCTGGGCAGCAAGCAAAAAACGCTGGCTTGAAAGACATTATCAATTGCAAATCAGCATTAGAAACCTGATTGACCTCAATGACTGGAGTTCTTTCAGGGAGGATCTGGGACCAGTATCATCCAGCACCGCAGCAGATGAATGCAGAGACAAGAGGTGGAAGTCACAGTTGTTTTATCAGCACTTCTGAAAGCCAAAAAGGTTTTGAGGTAGGAGAAAATTGTTCCTGACCTCACACAAACCATAAGAAGACATGACCATGGTATTATGTAGAACAGATAGGTTTTCTTTTCATAGACAAGTGGTATACGAACACGTTTGGCAAACCAGCAATGAAGAAATGATGCAGTAACTTTAGGGAAGTTGACTAGGGTAAATTAAATGTTTTCTTTCTTCCGCAGCATGCCTTTTTTTAAAACTTATGGCTCAATTTGATAAGGGAAGAACAGTGAAGGTTAGGGGGGATTAGGAAGATGCAAAATCTGTCTACCCCTGCAGAGCCATCAGAAGATCACTTTCTTTGCCTTAGACTTCCAGTGATAAAAAAAATACCAAACAAGTAAGTGTGGGTCTGAGAACACAAGTTAACGGGTAAACTGAAAGCAAACAAACCAATGGCATTTTAAAGTCAACCCAAGTAAAATCAGCAGTATGGTTAGTATCAGGAAGCCATGAGGTAAGAACATACAGACATGTCAGTAAACACTGCTGAATTGCTAAAACTATGGTAGTCACCTTGGATCCATACAGAGACATTATACATTTAATGACACTAGGCTCATTTGCACAGAACTTTTTACCTCTTAGCTTAATTCTCTACATGCTTTCAGAAACCTACATGATTATGAAACCAATGAGTCCCCCCTCTGTTATCCACTGGAATGGATTTGATGTGCAGAACAACAGAGGATAGCTTCAAAGAATATTCTTATCTGCAAAAAAACACATTTAGATACAATAGAGCTAACCTTAAAAAAATCCTTACCTTGAAAGCACCATCATTTTGGCTTTAGTTATTGTAAATCCTTCATTAATAATGATATCAATTAATTCTCCAATCTTGGGCACTGCATCAGGTTTAATCAAAGCCAGCGTTCTGGGAGGAAAAAAAAAAAAAAAGGTAGAGCGACACAGCCAACGTTACTTTCCTTAGAGCATTTGGTGTGCACGTTGAGTTTGCATTCAGACAAAAAAAACATCACATCAAAGGCAGAAATTCTGCCACAGTCAAACATCCAGTCCCAGCGTCTCATCAATTTCCACACTGTCCTTGAATGCCTGCACAAGACATTATTCTGATAAGAAGGAGCTTTGCACATAACAATTTCCTCAGCTTTCTAGCCCAACTCAGCCCGCAGAGTTCCAGCAGTCTTTATTTACTGACTTCTCCCTTCCCTCTGAGAGCATATAATCTGACCACTTCTTCTTTAGCTAGTGTATATCCCTGCAGCTCCTCAGCCATGGCTCTGGGTTAGACACAACTGTTTCGTTAATGTCTCCCTATAATTGCTCAGTTCCCTTTTCCCCTAATTTTAATCATTATCTACATAAAAATGAAGCTGTTAAATTTCCGTATTTAAAAATACTACTTAAACCTGCATCTCTTTAAAAAAAAAACATAATAAAAAAAAAAAATCACAGTGAAATGATCGTTTTATTACTCCTTTTAAAATATTTGGAGGCCTCAGTCAAAAGAAGGTCTTATTGTTCTTCGTACATTACAAACACCTAATGGTATATAATTTGAATGCCAAATAGCTGACGCTGTTAATAGACACAATAAAAGACTGGCAGAGGAGGTATTACGTCTCTTATACTGACTGACAGCTATATTCTAAGGGAGACAAATCAAAAAATTTCTACACTCTCCCCCACATCTTTGTTTCCAAGTACATCCTGTCTTCTTGATAATTATCTTTTTATACTATACATCCCCAAGGCCAGGACTGTTTTATTAGCGCACTCTGAACAGCACCAAGTACACCATCAGCATTAAGCGTATTATTAATCAAAAATAACAAGCACAAAAAGAAGGTCTGTTAAATGGCATCTTCTATTTGCATTCATATTATGGTGAGTCAGCTTCAAATGTGCTCAGCTTACAAAGCAACAGATTTAGTTCAATCCTGTATCTCAGAAACTCTACGTCTCCAAGAATCCTAAAGAGCTTTGTCCATCTTTAACGCTGTTACAAATAACGAAGGCTGTCCAAGATGGAATTTCTCACTGCAGTATTTCCCTAGATGAAAGGCAAAATAATTGCAAATTTCTCATTTCATATACCAGCATAGAAATGGAAAGCTGCCTTTAGGTTAGCAGTAATATATTCTAGCCAGTGCATTTATGCTTAGGTTGCAGGAAATAGACAAACTTCCACAACATTTACCTTGAACAGTGACCCCAGATTGACAGATACTTTGGGAACAGATAAATCTAAAATATGGGAGTTGTTAGGACCAGGGAATGTAATGAGAAAGATTTGAACATATGCAACATTTCATGTGAAACTAAGGGGGAGACATAGATGACCTTCAGAGCTCAGAAACAGATTTCCTCAAGCACCAGGAAACTTACATACATGGACCAGCTTGGGCCCAGATCCATTGGGAAATACGACGTCAAAAGACTGACGGACTAAGGATAAACTGCATGACAGTAGTCAACCAAGCCTATGCCTCAGTCCATCGCAGTGCAAACTAAAGTCAGTTTAGCTCCATGTTCAGATCAGGAAAGTCTGACCTCTGGCCAACATTCAACACAGTTTGCCAGCATACTTCATGCAGCCTATGGCCCATAGCCTGTTCATCTCTTTCCCAAGGATTTCACAGCTCCACTTCACTTTGTGGTATTTATCATACAACAGGGCGTGCCACACGCATGAAGGCGCAGGAGCAGCTGTGAACTTGACTGATGACACCTGTTCACATGATGCATGACCTGCATCCTGGCATAAGAGGTTCTCAACTCTGTTGTTTACCATGAAGGAGTAAATGATTGAAGGTCTCTACTGCCATTCACATTTCCTTGAGGAATACTTTTCTGAATCTGCATTATTACACAGGCTATTTGAGACAGACTGCTAATGCTAGAAATAAATTGTCCCTTACTTTTCTATTCCAAGCTTTCTAGTAAAATTAATTCCTACCAATATGTAATAAAATATTGCATTATGAAGCAATTTACTTACAAGTCATTAAGGCAAACTGCAATGAGCAACTCCTGTGACACCTTTTTTCTAACACTGATATATAAACTTTAACATTTCAGTGTGAGCTTCTCAGAGGTATGCAAGGTAAAAAAAGGTATAATTCAGCATGCTAAAGACTGTATCTGAGATTGGATTTTGATTCATGTGCCCTATTTTTAGTTCTAATGAGGAATAAGTTTCTTGTGGTTTAATATGATGCAGTCTGCAAAGTACAGTTTGAAATAATTTTACGTCTAGGAACAAAGGACAAAGAATGAGAATTAAGCTCATTTACTTAGATTTTCAGAGGAACTGTATGACTGTACTGCAATGAATACTGA